CTTTAATAATTTAATTTCAATATTGCTTTTTCAATAGCCAATCCTGCAATAATTTCAAAGAAGAGTTGGAATCCAAGTGAGACAATCCAAGAGAGATAATTCCTAGGGGAGACCTAATAAAATCTGCTATGATTTTATACTTGTTGGCTAGAAACTCAATCAAAAAGAGGTGGTATATATTTAAAAAGGGGTTGGGGTAGGGTTTGGATTTCTGGTTAAATGTTTTGGCTTTCCACCAGGAGGCACTAAAATGTTACAATGCTATAGCCTTCTTGGTATTGTTATAGCAAAGTAACAAGGTCACCTGGTACAGTGATATACTTTATGAATATACATGGAGTGGACGTGAAGTGTATACTTTTACTCCATAGCAAGAGGCAAATGATTCAAGATAATAACAGTTTATAGAGATAATAATTTTTATTAATAATAGGTTCATGGTAATATCCTTTACAATAGGAATAACCTAAAGAGAGAATATTACACTATACAAATATAAGAAGGGTAATAAGGGTAGTTAGGTAAGGCTAGATTCTATGAGAGGGTAGGGAACTCTAACTTGAGCAGAAAAGGCAAAAGGCTTCCTTTTTATAACTTTTCTACACATAAGAGGTGTAATAGTATAACTGCCAAACCGTGTAAAAGATACTAAAAGGTACTCATGCAAAGGTACTGAGAAATACCGTGTTGGAGGTACTGAGAGGTACTTGTGTGAAGGTACTGACAGATACTTGTATGAAGGTACTGACAGGTACTTGTGTGCAGGTACTAAGAGGTACTCGTGTGCAGATACTGAGAGGTACTCGTATGCAGGTACTGAGAGGTACTTGTGTACAGGTACTTGTATGCAGGTACTGAGAGGTACTCGTGTACAGGTACTGTGCCTCAATTCTCTAGCCAATATCATCTCTAAAATTACTATAATAAATATCACTATAAAATATACTAATAGCTAATACTTAATAAATACTAAATAAATATAACTAATATATAATAATACAATTTATAAACTATAATTTATTCTACACTATGCTAACATTACATTGTGTTACAACCTACTTTGTAACAATAGTAATCTAAGTCACATTTTACTAAGATCATGCACCTGTTGAGTTGCAAATCATCAAATAAAAAATATATAAAACTACTATGAATTTTGCAGCTTTAATATTTTTCGATCTACATATTAATTTAAAATTAAATTTTATGATTATATATAATAAATAAAAAAAAATTTTTTAGCTTAAAAACCAAGTTAAAATTTTGCTAATTTTGTATAATTTCAAAAAATAACAACAAATATTTACTAATTTTAAATTAGTAATTATATGTAAAGTTATGCTCTAAACAACTTTAATTACAAGATAAAAGCAGATTATCTTAATAGAAAAATAAGTTAGCTATGTACTAAAGTTGAAATTTTCAGTTTTTTTATATATAACTTTTTTTCTACTTAGGTAGCCTGCTTTTATCTTTTAATTAAAGTTGTTTAGCATAAAATTTTACATCTATATAGTATATTAGTTTTTTTACTTTTGCGAACCTTTTACTAAGTAAAAAATAGGGTTAAAGCTAGAAAAAAATTTTTTAAAAAATTTTTTAGAAAAATTTCGCAAAAGTGAAAACTAGTATATTGTATAAATATAAAATTTTATACTGAACAACTTTAATTAAAAGATAAAAGCAGGTTATCTAAGTAGGAAAAAAGTTATATATAGAATAACTAGAATTTTTAACTTTAGTACATATCTAACTTATTTTTTTATCAAAGTAACCTGCTTTTATCTTCTAATTAAAGTTGTACATATCTAACTCATTTTTTTATCAAAGTAATCTGCTTTTATCTTCTGATTAAAGTTGTTTAGATTATAACTTTACATATAATTACTAATTTAAAATTAGTAAATATTTGTTTTTAATAAAGTTATTTTTTGAAATTGTACAAAATTAGCAAAAAATTTGGTTTTTAAGCTCAAAATTTTCTTCTTTATTTGTTATATGGTCATAAAATTTAGTTAATATGTAGATCGAAAAACATCAAAGCTGCAAAGTTACACGTGACATATCGTGTGACTGATATATATAACAAAAAAAAACATACTGTACTACAGTATACCTCTATACCTCTATAATCACATTATATAAAAACCTCATTTATCACATTCTGTACTTAAGAACAAATTGCTATTAAACTTATGCGTAAAAAACTACCTCTACACTGTATAAGCACAACCTCTTTATAAAAAAATTCATAAGTAAAAAAACGTGAGATTACATAGGAGGTTGACTTACAATATACTAGTTTCTTTATATTCTATATTTATTTGCAACGATTTCACAATTATCACTTCTCTCTGCTATGATCCACACAGCCTAAACAGTTTCTTTTTGTCCTTAGATCAGCGAGAACATATCGATATAACACAATGTAAATCCGGATATTATCCGATTGGGAAAAGTTTTGAGTCAGTTATTGTAGTATCGGCATCAGGATAGATAATTTTAAAGCGGATGCCAGATAAATAACGATAAGGCCATTCTTGACCTGGGTTTCATAATAATTACGAATGTTCGTAATTAAAACCCGTGATTCGCGATATAAAGTTGCTAAGCTTATTGTGATATCGGTATCCATTTTATTTAGTGTAAGATCCGGATGTCAATCCGGATATCCGGATCTCAACACTAATTTTATTTTCTTTATGTAACAGAATGGTGTTCGGTGAATTTTCCAAAGATAGCATGATGTATTGCACGTGTAACGTAGTTCGCATTTTAATTTCTATATAAAATCATTCGTTAGCGTTAGAACAGCAAATACATATTTTTCAGCGCAAGATAAAGATCTCTTGCGTCTTCGTTTTGTTATCTAATGCTATCAGGTGGGTAAAAGTTTTAAATGAACAAGGAATATGAGGCATTTATTAATCGAGTTTTAACACAAGTTTTGGTAAGCTAAACGTTTTCTGGGATCGTCCCCAATATTTCGCATCCCTAATCTTTCATTGATACCCTAATTCTAAATATCACAGTTCTGTTATGATTATAATTTTTCAATAAAGTAATCAAAATTTATGCAGTAAGTTTGTACGAGAATCAAAACAATGTGCTCGTATGTCTGTCAGCATTGCTGAATCGGGTATAAAAACGTCCAAGTTTCAAACAATACTGTTGTAAATCTGAACTGGGCTTAAAATTTTCATTTCAATATAGTGTATGGGAAGATTGGTTTGCTTAGCTCGCAGTCGAAATTCATGTTCCTTGCACCATGGACCGACGAGACACTTCAAGAAGACGACCAATGCTTCAGCTAGACCAACCAATGTCATCAATAAGAGCTAAAAATAAAGGTTTTTATATTTTTATCAATTTCAATTTTTATTATTATAACTTTAACTAATTTTTAGTGCTACTACTTTTCAGCTACCGATGAAGCTAAAAAACGCCAAGAATCGAAAAACGTGCTGCAGGAGCTCCTCGGAGACTATAGCGAAAGCGATGACGAGAAAGATGAAGAAGAGGCACAGATCGGTAGGCGAAGCAGCTCTTACGAGTGTTATATAGTACCTACATTAACAACAGGCATGATGCATAGTTTGCGATAGACAAAAATTGCGAGTTGGTTGGTGTATAGTTTTTCTTTCGATATTTATGAACAGGAAGTAACTAATTAATATTTTTAAAAAGAGAATCCATCAAAGGGGCAATCACAACCGGATTCTTTCAGCTCTTCAAATAATCAATCAGACATTCAGAAACCTTCATCAGATTCCCACCTGCCAACAACTTCTCAGTTTAATTCTGAACATTCGATCGAGATGGATCAATCTGAGGAAAGCATCGAAGCGGCATTAAAAAACTTTTTGTCCGAAATCAATGCGTTACCTATTACTTCTATCGATAAAAATCCTACTTTGGAAAAAACCAGTGAAAAATCTTCTAAAAATATTGTACCAACGGAAAAAGATCAAATTGTTTCACAGCTCTCACATTCAGAAGGTGATTGGCAACGGCATTTTCATCAAGAGGAAAAACGTTACTATTATTTCAATAGTAGAACTGGTGAAACATGTTGGGATCTTGATACACAAACTAATGTTTTGGGAGCTTCTTTAATGTCACGTTCAGATGAAGAAGCAAATAATTTGAATTCATCACCTAAAGAAGACTCTAATCGAGAAGTTGATGTTCACTTTAATCAAATGAATACCATTGATGATATCGACAATGTTACATCCATGCGTCCTCCTTCATCAGATTCGCCATTGCATATTCGCTCAAGAGATGCCTACGACCGTTTATCTATCATTACACCTATGACAACACACTTGAGGCTTGAAAGGCATCAAATTGAATTCGCCACCAGACTACATGATTGGCAAGTTGGTGCGTTGAATTCATATTATTTTGAAAAAGTTATTTTGGAAGGATTGGAAATGTTGATACGAAGCATTGAAGGTATGTTTGTATCTTAGTTATAAAATATAAACTATCGTTTAATTCAAAGCAAAATTTGTAAAATTCTATCGAATTTATTGAAAAAAAATTGAATACAACAGAGCAGATATCACCAACTGGCTGGTTATGCAAATGGAAATCTGATTCAAAGACATATATCTGGATGCACATTCAGTCGGTATGATTTTGTGTATTTTGTGCATTTTATGATTCATGTTAGTTATGTAACATGTCATTTATAACATTAAGTAATACTATACCTTATAATTTTGGTAGAATCAAGTTTCCCTTACGTATCCAAGTCCTGAATTGATTGCAAGTCTTAACACTCATTCGTTGGTTGTAAATAACCAAGAATGTTCTACAGCGGGATCAGATTCTTCGCCCATGATAAATTTAATGCAATCATCACAGCACAGTACTACTACTTTGCAACCTACGAGCGTTTCGAAAACGCAAAATAATTCATTTTTACAGCCGTTATTTCAGTCACAAGTTACACCACCGCCCCCGCCTTTACCACCTCCACCTCCATTGCCGAAAGTTGAAAGTTGGAATGAAGTTATCGATACAAAACCAGAATCTTCAGATGACGGGATTGGTTCTCCCCCCCGTTCTCAAACATCAAGTTTACCAAGTGTGTCTCATTCACACGAAAAAAAGAGAAAGAAAGATAAAGAGCTTGTAACTTCCGGTTTTAAGAATAAAAAGATGGTATATTATTACAATACTTCTTTATAATATTTGTATGCTACCATGAAGTTAATAAATATCAATAATCTAGGCGACACTTGTTGAAAAATGGAAAGCTGCGGAAGATTTCCTTGCAAATACTGATTGGGAAGAGGTCACAAGGCAACAACATGGATCTTCCTCCATTAATCCTGAAGCTTGGATCAGAGAACAGATTGAATCTGGCGAAGCTGCTAACAATCCTAATTTCGAACCTATTAAGGGTGACTGGCGACAAAAAATCAGAAGCAAGAAGTCTTAAAATGAATTCTTTTTTAACATTTTTTTTAGAAAGGCTAATTGTATGATATTGTAACTTCTGGCAAGATATGCTAAATATAAATTTTGTAAATATATTTCAAGTTCATGCCATAAATTGATATACATTATTGAGTGGTTTTGAAATCTGTTTACTAGCAAATTTGGATGATGTGAATCACATTCAGGGTTGCAGTGCTATGTGCCCTATAAAAAAGTAATGAAGAATTTTATAATGTAAATTGGCGTTATTTTGAGATTTGGCCGAATTAAGCTTAATTTGTTGTAATTTTTGCTCCTGCGCATTATTTCACGGTTTACAATATATGGAATATGCCAGAGAATAATGTAGAATTGATTATTTTTTCATATATATTTAAAATAAAATTTTGTGATAAATTTCAAATGTAATATGAAATTATAATAAATTATTTGTATTTCTTAATCTATAGGCTTTTTAGACAAATTTGCCTAGAAATCTACTTTTTAAATAAAATATTCGAATAAAAATTTATTTGATAATGCAGAGTTTGGATATATGAATTATAGTAGTACGTATTTAATTTTATATTACAAAAAAAGATAATAAATTTAGAAAACTATTTAAAAAAAATTACAGTATATACTATACAGTATATTAGAGATACTAAGTAAAAATATTTAAAACCTTTAAAAATTTAACTAAAAATTTAAACCTTAAATATTGTATTCTAACTTTAAATAAATATATTTTTTTTAAGGTGAGGTCTTGATAAAAAATAAATATAACAATATACAATACAGTATATATATATATTATAGTATATATGATTATATATTATAAAACATATCTATGGTTTTACTGTATATATATCAATTATTATGTATTTTTCTAAATTTTGTATATAGTGTTACAAAGTAGGTTGTAACACAGTGCGACAGAAGCATAGAATAGTTAATTTATAATCGAACAATTGTATTTATATTAGTTACTATATATTTATTAACATAGTATTAGTTAGCATTTTATTATTATTATTCTTATTATTGTATTATTATTTATTAGTTATAGAGATGTTATTGGCTAGTTATATTTGGCACAGTAATACTATACCTAAGGTAGCACA